CTCTACCCTACTGTTTAATGGCATCTGACCGAATTAGTGCCACTAACTTCTAATATGATCATCACACACATTACCAGAATGGACAAACAAAACATTGGCTTACTTAAAGGTCACCTCCATATGTTCTCCTACACACTTTGAAAAGGAGGGTGAAATCAAGGGTTGCAATATTAAATCTCACCACTAGATGCCACTAAATCCTGCACATTGCACCTTTCAGGAGTCATCTCAGGAGAATCAGGTTTTCCCCATTTGATTTTTTATTTTTACTTCCTCCATTCATAGTCAAATCCTACATTGTGGTGTGACCATCACTCTCCTCTCGGTGGTTGACTGCCCCGTCACTCCGAGGCCCCTGTGGTAACTGATCTTGATCAAGTCTCCTCTCTGTGTGGAATAAACTTTTCTAAAAACAAGACAGTGAAGTTTCTACACGTCACCTGCAGACAAAAAATCCCCATTTTCAGTAACCCATGTCATACACACCCTATATTTAAAATATTTTGAGTAGAAAGAAGAGGATATTTTTTCTTTCTATTGAATAATAATACACGCAAAACTAAGAATACTTTTGAACCTTCAGGTATGTTTCATTAGTTGTGCCACTCAACTGCTTTGCTGGTCACCATCCTCAACCTGCACATTTTTCTACTGATGTGGGTCTTTTCAATCACTACACTTGAGTCTGGAAATGTTCTTAAAACATCTATACTAAAATTGCCATCTCCACTGTGACAGCGTTTTTCAAGAGAGAGAAACACACAAAGAGCCTCAGAAGTGCACATAACACAAGTATAAATGAGAATAAGCTTTTAAAATGAGTATACATAATATATATTGTTTGTGCATACGCCTACTCACATGTGAGCTACATGAGCTCCATGTTTCACCCCTAATATGATAAGTTTCATTTTATTTTTGATGAATACCAACAACTACAATGTGGGTTTTCAGGAACAATTTCAAAGTATATTACAGATGTTGCTCATCTGAGTTTGTTGTTCTTAGAGGTTGTTCTGAAGTGCAGTAAAAGCACTTACCTCTTAAATATAATTTTAGGAACAGCCAGCAGGTTACCCCCCGGAGAACCTTAGACTTGTGCAGGTTGATAACGAGAGAGGTGATAAGGAGAAAGCTAATATCTGGGGCCAGACAGCTCTAGCTATAGGTAATGAGTAGGATCTTAAAACATATTCAAGGTCCTTTAAGGTGGGTAAGGGTTTCCATGGTTTCAGTAAAGAGTGTGAATCGTCTCCTCATTTATAAAGTTGGAAGTGAAAGCATGTACAATTTATTCCAGTATTTTTCTAATGTGGGCGCTGACTGTCAGGGCCAAAAGATTACAGGTTTAATCTGAACAACACTAGAAAGGAAAAAATACTAAAGGGAAATAAAAGTGACCCCTGTACAGAACTCTGGGGAAGGCCACAGGTTGGTAAGGTAAGTGAGATATGGTCACCAAGAGCAACAAGTATCTTACAGTTCAACCATGCAAGGTTTGTTTCTGATCGACTCATCCAGTGATTCACAGACAACTTGTGAGGTAACTACAAAACATATCAAATTTCATTAAGCTATAATATCGTTCAGTTTAAGTTTTAGTCCCCTGGAGAAATCACATAAAATGATGTAAAGTGAGCGCAGTCATTAAAGCCTTCAGGGACCAAACAGATTATAATACAGCCTTCTGAGGCTACAGTTACATTTTATTAACAGTAGAGATGGGATGTAAATACTGAAATGTAGATGCAACAGGAGCAAACATGGAATACAAACAGATAGCAAATGACATTAAAGAGATGAACGACTGCAGCTATAGAAAACACAGACAAAGATGCAGCAGCAGGAAATGATTATATAGGGACAGAGAATTATTACCAAAAAAGATGGAATGTGAATATAAGCAAACTATGATGGGATGACCCATAATCCATGGGATTGGTCTGTCTTGACCTGGTGTGAAACTGACAAGCAGTGCCTCTCAGTGAATTGCACTTAAATATTGAAATCAATAAAATTTTTATGAGGCCTGAAATTATGTTCATGTGCCATCACGGCCCAGTGAAGGAAAGTGTATTTTCTCTCCTCAAGCCAAGCAGCAGAGAACTTCCCTTGTCAGGGGAGATTGTCCTCTTTGGATGTTAGGGGGCACAGGTAGAACAAAAATTACAATGCAATACTCAAACTGCATCGACCTTGAGGACCAGTCACACTGTTTTTGTTTGTCCGTGCTGTGTAGCACCTCGACACATGCTCCTGGTGCTAGGGGGCGTCACGTGGCGTGTGACTTTTAGTGCTGCACTGTCACCAGGTGTCAAGGTGATAAACATCAAATCATGTCACAATGAAGGCTTACTCTAACCCCCCCTCCCCCTACACAAAGAGTTTCACCACAAAAACAATTTCAAGGTTCTGTAGCAACATCCAATCAGTCGCACTTTGAAGATGCAATTGTTTGCTTTGTAGGGCTGGGGCCATGAGCTGTATGAGGACCTTGCTGAGAAGAAAGCAGAAGAGTAGCTCGTGACAGGGTGAGGGGAAAGGGCCGTTGGGTGTTAGAAGGTGAATGAGGTCCTGTCCTGCATTTGTTCAAACAGATTTTGACAGAGCTCATAACTCAAAGTTCACCATCATGGACTTAAGCACTTAAAGATTGGGGGCTTTCTTTGCCTCTATTCTGCATTGTTTGTAGCTGTGTGGAGAACAGCGCTGCATTGGTTAACACTGTTGCTATGTACTGCTGACATGTTGCTGCTTCTGAATAAACAAGGATTGACGTCGGAGTGTGAGAAACTATCTGATCTCCAGGTTTGATCTTCGGGCCTTATCATGGACGGACCGTTCCCCTTCAAACTAGGCTTCATGTTGACTTAGACGTGTGTCAGAGTTGAAGGCCAAGTAAAGAGACGTTGAGCAACGATGTTTACAGTGTGTGACTGTGTGGAGAGGCGAAAGCACGGGGAAAGTCTGAGATTCATTGCACCGTGTATGAACTGACACAATGTACTGCGTTTTAAACATTAATGCACACAAATGAGATCGTGGCCCAACAAGCATTGACTCTTTATTGCCTTTAATCATTTATCCTCTCGCAGGAAACTCTGTGGGCGGTGGTATCGAGCAGCAAACGAGCTAATTAACTCCACAGTTGTGACATAAAGCATTTTGACACATTGTAACATGTTTATTCCTTTTTTTTTTAAACAGCATTAGTATGTGTTACTTTCAGTGCTGCTGTTTCTCAAAATCAAGCCCATGTTTCCCATGAACCTTCTTGTTGAGGGGGCCTTCATTTTAAGAGTAAGATGAAAGATTGATATCCCCACTTCACATCTGAATATCCAGACTAAGGTCTGATTCTAGGGCTTAGTTGTATTGTTTGCATTTGATCTGATTTGCTTTGGTGTCAAGTTTAAGGAGTGGACTTTGACTTCTGTATAACATAGGCTCTTCCTATACTTGACATTGGTTGGTTTGTAGACATGTGCTGACTTTAATTTAAATTAAGAAAATGTGTTGATTTTGTTGCCACTGTAATATCATTGTGGTTTTACTACCAGCAAAATGAACGTCCTTGTCATTCAAACATTAGATCTTGGGAGGTTTTTTCTTTCCATTGGATGATTTCTTCTGTGAATCAGTTTGATATTTTGGTTCTGACATAATTGAAGAGCTCAAACGTCTGGACCAAACAGGTAGGTGTGAAAAACCTCCTAAGCTAAAAAAAAAATTTTTAAATCTTCGTTTCATTTCAAATAAGAATTTGCACTGTTGAAATGTTTAAATTGCATCAGGACTATTATTTGAGGTAACTCAAAGTCAGCAGAAGGGTGAGACGTGAATTCCCAACAGGCGTTGTGAGACTAATGCAGCAATGGGTCTGGGGGAGCTAATACTGCTTTCAATTTGAGCAAACAGATTTGTGCTTATCTAGAGGCTTTAGGAGTCCCCTCCATACTTCTTCGTTAACTCTCAGCAAGAAAGCAAATTAAGAGCCATTCTTAAAATGTCAGACAATTCCTTTGATTTTCAAAAGGCTGCATTGCTTCTTCCAACATTCTGGCCTTTTTCTTCATTTAAAAATGAACTGAAACACTTCCTGCTTGGACGTTGTTGTTGTTAGTGGGAATGAGAGGTGAACTCACCCAGAGAACTCACTGACCTCAAACTGCAGCAAACACAAATGTGAACCAAAAACCCTCCTGACCTGACGCAGGGTATGGACGGGGGATTTCTGCTTTGAATAACTCAAGACATGGATGGTTCACAAACCCTCTCGCCAAACTTCTGTCTTTCGCTTCCTCCTCTCAGTGGCCTCCTATCATGTTGCGCATAAATAGATGTATTAATCTTTATTGGATAACAGCTGGTATTAATAATAGCAGCACTTTTGTGTTACTATGTTGAGATAGCGCAGGACATTTTCTCACGCAGCTTCCCACTGAGAGAGGTCGCAGATGATACCCGCCATCTGCACTTGCTTCCAAGGCTCCTCCTTTATAAAGACTGGAAGGAGGTTAGAGTTAGATTGGCTTTATCCATCAGTTCCAGGTGCCATCTCATTCCCGTCTGCTGACAGTCGGATGTGCATTGATGACTGTCCTGCACTTGTAAGGCCAGGGACAATAGCAGCAGTGGAAGCTGATGGATTTGGTAAGGAGCATCATTTTGGTGGACAGCTTGAGGTTGAATTTTTTTGTCCGTAGGGCCAGTGAGGGGGGGATTCAGGTCTGTGCTATAAGACCTTACTGATGTGGTTTATCTCGGAGCATTTAAGACGCTCTGGTGTCCAGCACATGTTTGCAGGAAAGTAAATGTTGCAGTCTGTCATGATGGAAGAAAAAACTGTGGGACACCGACGCACATACGGTCAGGGTGACGCGCTCAACTCTCTCTCTCTCTCTTTCTCCCCCCTCTCTTTCTGTCTCTCCCTCTCTGTCTGCGGCACAGTCGCGCGTCCTGCCGCTCCGCCTGTCTCGTCGCGGTGGTTTCGGTGCCAAGACGCTCTTGTTGGACGCGCGCAGTGCACTCTGAGCGCACGCCGGCTTTTTTCAGTTTTTCTGTTTTTCATAAGTTTCAATTAACAAACTCGGGATATTTCCTGGATGTATATAAAAAAATGACCTGACGACATGTAGTTTTATCACAACCAGCTCCTGTGAAGGCGGCGAGTGGGCGTCGGAAGGCTAGCGCCGTGCGCAACAAGAGCAGGTGGATGGAGAGGCTGGCGCGGGATGCGGTTTTTCCAGCAGGTCAGCGCCGCTCCGGAGCGGCTGGACTCTACATTCTGTGCTGAGGGACGTGATTTGAGCAGGACGTGTTTAAAAAGTAAGTGATGCTGTTTAATACGAAGAAAAGACTGATTTAAAAATGGTATTTTGGTTTTTATCAATAAATCCGTCTTCATCCATTGGCATTTCGGCGAGGACTCTGGTTTGCTTGTGCGCACTGGCACACAATCTTGTGATATTTTAGCTGATAAAAGTAGTTTTTTATGGAATCTTTTGTGAAATAACACGTTTTCTTGCATTTAAACGCACTTAAACTGTAAAACCAAACAAATACCCAACTCAAATGCGTTTTGTGCACATTTGAGGATGCATGGTTTAAGGGGCAGTTGTGTACTTGATTTAAGCACATTAAAACACAAGTGAAACAGGTGTATTACTATGGAGAGACAGGTGCATGGTTATCAGGCTGGGAGTTCTGTTTTTTCTATTTGGAGAAATTACCCTTCATCTCCAGCATACAATATTTATTTTTCCTCGAACATGTGGGTGCATTTCGTTTGGATTGCTTTCCTCTTTGTAGCTCATTCGCTCTCCAACACACTCACAAGCCCACAATGCAGGCTCCACAGATACCTGTTAGCAAAGGTCAATATGTTGTTAGTGGATTTCAGTGTTTTGTACTTGAATTAACATTCATGAATTGTTTTTATGGAACCAGACCAATTTCTAGGTGAGTTATTTGTTTCTTTCAATTCTAATCATTCATTTCAGTTTACATTTTTGCCAAAGATCCCTGCACCTTTTGTAATCACTAGGTAAATCACCCTGAAATGCAACACTAAGGACCAAAAATAATATTTATAGGCCAACTTATTCACAGACATTCCCACAGCCAGTGAGTCAAATGCACAATGTGAAAAATGAACAAACCACCACTATCAGAGGCAAATAGTCACTGGTAGAACTGCAGGCAAATAATGCAATATGTATTTCTCTTCACGCTACAACTGGCTAACAAACCTAATCAATGATTATTCTGATAATCTGAGGGTTATTTTATTATCTAAAACTTAACTGAACACCTCTCCAATAAAGCTCAATGAATGAAAAATTTTATGAAAATATCTGATTATAAATTTGTATTTAATGAGTCAAACATTTAGATGAATAAAATAATAAAGTGAAACCTTTTCTAACCCACGTCATCACCTGCAACTTGTACCCAACCTCTTATCACCACAGTCGTCATTAGCACAAGGTGGACTGACCCAAGTGAGCCCACATGTGCCGGTCACACGTCAGGTAAATTATGAAAGAAAGAACTGGACCGTTGCCCGACTGTGGGCCAGCTGCTGTCACTGCAGGGAAAGAGTGAGTGATCCTGCCACAGTGTCAGAGCTGTTTGTTCCCAAGATCGATTAAATAAACATTTGTCTTTGGCAGCGAGATGCCCTCGTCGTTCATTCGCTCAGGCTCATCGTTTTGAATGCATGCATGCAAGGGGGGAGGCATGCATACTCACATGTGCACACACCTGTCCTGGACTACTTAGGGTCAGTGCAGCGAGGGAGGGGAATTTATGGTCTGGTCAGAGCAAAAAAAAGAGCAGAAGACCTAATGAGACTCACAAGACGTTTTCACAGTCTCATGTTTTTAAAACTTGTGAGTGTTTAGGGTGATGATGAATAACGGAACGTGTCCTGATTGCATATGTGTTAACCTGACACACCAGTGGATTCGTTAGACAGAAATAACTGGGACAAGCGCTTTAAAAAAAACGCACACACTGTCTATCACTGTTTTCTGACTCCAGGCAGGAAATTAGCAAAAACATCTTTTCCAGTGTTGATCTTAGTACTTTTTTCAATCAAGAAATAATTGATGCTATAGTAGCTGCCATTGGGTTTGACCAACACCCACTAACTTGCTGTCAAATATATGAAAGACACCTCTGTCTGCCGGAGTAATCGATACAATTCTGTGGGTTGACCACAAGTAAATACCTTAATTAAAACCTTGGACTTTGCTGGATACCCAGTCCCAGTCGGGCTGGGCTCTTTCTGTGTCGATGTTTCAAGTTCTCCCGGTGTTTGTGCAGGTTTCCTCCCACAGTTCAAACACATTTAATTGGAGACTATACGTGTGAATGCCGGGCCTCCCTATCTGCTCACTACGCACATTGCTTTGGGGCCCCGCAAATTAAGCAAGGCCCCTCCTCCCCCTCGTCTCAGTGAGCGCAGTGTACGTCTTAGCCATGCGCTATGCGGTGGCCGTGTGCAGCACCTGCCATAATTGCATCACCTGCCAAACTATGGCAGATCTGTAACTGGGTAGACTGCAGAAAATATCCTGGGTTAAACCATTTCTATTATTATTATTATTATTTTCTAAGGCAGAGTCGTGGATTATTTGAAACATGTTGGACGCGCACTTAACTCAAAAGCCTGACTCCTCCTCACATCTGCTTTCTGCCACAATTATTCAAATGTCTCCACCAGTTCACTCATTTCACTGAATGCAGCATTTATGTCCTTCTGGATTCATTATAACCATAGAAACCAAAGTGCTACCTTCAAGCATAGCCTTTGGATCTTTTTTAAAAAGGGCCATTTTTTATTTCATCTACTTTTATGTTTTTATGACTGGGGGTAGAGTGAGAATCATTGCTCGTACCATTAAAGTAATAAAAGATTAGGTCATTTAGGATCAACAATATTTCTTTTTCACCATCTGTGTGACAGAAGTCGTGTGTGTCTGTGTGTGCACATGTGTTAACCTTAAAAACCATAGAAGCATAAAGGCTGGCATTGGTATAAGCAACACAGCTTCAACTAATACAATTTTCAGTGGGTGTGTTCGTGGATGGATGGATTCAGCCATTTCTTCCATGTCTGTGTGTGTTGCAGTGTTGAGTATAACCATGGGGAGAAGTAAACATTTCTAGGAAATATTCTGTAGAGAAAGAATAAGGTGTGAACATAGTTATGTTAAATAACATTGGAACTGTTGCTGCAGATTTTAAAGGACTATTATTACCAAGTATATGCTCCACATTTCTCTGCCATACTTAATGTTTTCACTCCGTTCTCTCTTTCTCTAGATCCATCCCGGTCTCTAACCATCTCCTTCCAGCTGGGATGTGATATTTTTCGTCCCGAAACTCAGAGCCCTAAAAACATTCACCCAAAGATCTCAAATTCCCAGAACCCCATGCACATCCTGGAACTTAACACATGAAGTCCTCAACCCTTATTTCCACCATCCTGTGAATTCAAATCAATGTCCAACCCAAAACCCATTAATAGCTACCGTCTCTGACCTCCTCTCTGATCGCACCCTATCTCTTACTTGTCAACGTTTTTTTTTTTGTTTACAACCCTTTGATTTCCCAAAACATAGTCAGCCATCATGGCCTTGGATCAGTGGCCCTTCCTCTCGACTCCCCCAAACACCTCCATCCTCGAGCCCCTCCTGTACAACAGCTACATTCAAGGGAATTTGTCCGACCTGGCCCTGAACATCTCAGAGACCAGAGAGCGTCACCAGGACAAGACCAGCTCTGTGGTCATCACCTTCATCTATTTCATGGTGTGCTCCGTGGGGCTCTGTGGCAACACCCTGGTCATCTATGTAATCCTGCGTTACGCCAAAATGAAGACAGTCACCAACATCTACATCCTGAACCTGGCAGTCGCAGATGTTTTGTGCATGATGAGCCTGCCATTCATCGCCCTGCAGCTCGCGCTGGTACACTGGCCCTTCGGAGAAGCTCTTTGCAGAGTGATCATGACTGTAGGTGGGTGAAGAACAGGAGGTTATGGTGCAATTTATTAAAGAGCAGCAGTTTTACTTGACAGAGAAGCGCTGTCAGGCTCCTCAAGAGGGAAATTACGCTGAAATCTTTCCTTGCTAAAGTTGCAATTTCAGGAAAAACATCTTTACTTTTTAAATTTTAAAGTTAGTTTGAGTGTTTGAATGTTTTTTTTTCATAGATTTAATGTTTACAACCACTCACATATCTATTGCAGATATGGAACTACAGTCAGGAGGCTGCTTAATAAGCAACAGGCTGGATGCAGGGGAAACATCTAGCTTCCCTCTGCAGGTCAACGGTTAAACAAAAATATGAATACAGACACTTACTAATGAATGCAGTGTATCCCATTTTGTTTTATCTCTAAAAATACATTCGTAAAAAAGTTTTGGTTTTATCGGAGGTAATGTGCCAGACTATTTCCTGGCCAGGTGTGGTTATATCTACACCACAGCTGTGTCCCAATTCAGGGTTCGAATGCCGATCCAAAAAAAAAACTATAAGCAGTAACCATTACTCGATGCAGTTTTTATCTCACTCTAATCAATCCTTGCTTCCTTTTATAGATTAAGTAATTGCTTAGCATGTGATACATAACCTCAACTCACCTTGTTCCTTCCTCTCCTCCCCTGCCCCTTCCCAGACTCTCTCAATCAGTTCACCAGCATCTTCTGTCTGATGCTGATGAGCATCGATCGATACTTGGCCGTGGTCCACCCCATTAAATCTACAAAATGGCGGAAGCCCCGTGTAGCCAAGCTAATTAACCTGACAGTCTGGGGTGTGTCGCTGTTGGTCATTCTGCCAACTATGATCTTCAGTGGCCTGGACAAGGTGCCAGTATGTGGCATCGTGTGGCCGGAGCCCCAGGACGTCTATTACACAGCCTTCATATTCTACACCTTTTTCATTGGTTTCTTCTTGCCCCTGGCAGTCATATGTATGTGCTACCTGCTTATTATAATCAAGGTGAGACTGCATGTGTGGTATTATAATGCAATTATGTTTCTGTTTTGGTCTTGCATTTCTTATGTCCTGTAAACTCAATAACATTTTTCCATAACTGGCTATGGCACTAAAATGATGCTGTGTCATTTTCACATACAGTCATTGACTCAAGCTGTTAATTACTTTTCTGGAGGGAAATATGTTCATTTGCTTTCTTACAAATAGTTAGAGAACATTACAGCTTTTTAATGTGTCTATTGAAAATTAAATTAAAGCTCATTTGCTTGGGTTAGCATAAAGATAAGCATCTTTAAATCTCTCGGATATATCTTGTTAGATAAAGTCACTGTGGAGCACAAAAAACAGATTTGAAATCATCTGACAGAAAGATATTAGAGTGGTATTGATCTCTTATCTGAGGGAAAAACAAACACCAGTATATTCTATCACGCTGTTTCCTCTAGATGCTGTTGTGAAGAAGAGTTTGGACATTTTGCTTGTGTTCTTGTGATATCCAGCCACTAACAGTCCGCCCTCTTACTAGGTGAAGTCGTCTGGCATGAGAGTGGGCTCCACCAAGCGCAAGCGCTCAGAGCGCAAGGTGACAAGGATGGTGTCCATTGTGGTGGCCGTGTTCGTGCTCTGCTGGCTGCCGTTCTACATCTTCAACGTCACCTCTGTCACCAGCTCCATCAGCCCCACCTCTGCTGTGAAGAGCACCTTCGACTTTGTGGTGGTCCTCGGCTACGCCAACAGCTGCGCGAACCCCATCCTGTATGCCTTCCTGTCGGACAACTTCAAGAAGAGCTTTCAGAAAGTTCTGTGTCTGAAAAAGGTGGCGGGCCTGGACGAGATAGAGCGCAGCGACAGCAGGGCGGACAGGAGCAGGATGGTCATCGATGCAGTGAACAACGCCAACTTGGAGACTCACAATGCCGCCCTGCTCAACTGCGAGCTTCAGACCAGCATCTGAGGATAAAATAGAAGCAGTCACATCTAGGGAGGCCAGAGAGACTGAGCAGTGGTGCTTGGGGGATGATGGGCTCCTCTTGCACTGCTAGTGACCTCGGCTCAATGACGCCGGGGCGAGAGGATGATGTTATAGCTGCCGCTCATGGACAAGGACACATGAGCATAGTGAGTGAAAAAAATAAACAATTTCATCAGGGTTTTCAAAGGTCTGGGAAAGTACACTGACTCCAGATCAAACACTTTATATGTGGACTAATGAGGGAACTTTAGTTGATTAGCCCTGAGCTGAAGCTAATGTATGATATGACAAATTATGTTCAACACTGTAGAGAAATCAAACACAAATAAGACTGCAGCTCACGCTCACCAGCCTGGGACTACTATCAAGCTACCAGAAAAAAAACTACCATCGAAGAGTGGACCCACCGGAGAAAAAGCAGGGGGTGAGTTCACCCATAGTGAGGACAGAGGCGGCTGAGCTCCGTCTCTGACTCAGTGATGGAGATTTCCAGATCTTACAAGGTCGGGCATTGATTTCTCTGAATGTGGAAATACTCTGGAAGAAGTGGGCCAAACATTTCAAGCTGGCACTGTAATTCTCCAGAGACTTTGAAAGATAAATATCAGCAACTAAAGCTCAAAGATGAATACTTTCATGGTCATGTTTTATTCCTACCAGCTGAATCGTCTGGTCTTGCATGATCGACAGTGCAACAAAATGGTAAACCTGTCAAAACAAATCATATTTACCCTGAAAGGAAGGATGCTCTTTTCCCCATCTCAGTGAAAGGAGCTGCATTGATCTGTAAATGCTTGAATTTAACATCTTGGATTACTGATTATGTGGAAGGAAGGGAAAACATATTGGGAGACGCTCTGACCCTGCGTACTTTGTATATAGGAAATGTATTTTTTCTTGTCAACCTCTAGGGGAACGTTGTGCTCATAACTTCATGTCCAAGCCAAAATGAATCTCAAAGGCAAACCCTGCTGTAAAATTCTGCGTTGTTGTGATGTGTCAGGAAAAGCTTTGAAACTATGTTTGCGGAATCCATCACGCATATGTTATATGTCACTGCAACCTGGTCTTTAAAATATTTTCCCTCTGTGCCAGAGACGCAGCGATGAAGAGCCAATTTCTTCTTGTAAAGTTCTGTGTTTTGACAATGTAATATTTCTGAGTTTAACGTCGCCTAAGACAGCATGTGGTTTCAAAGACGCTTAAATCTCACAGACGACAGGAAAATGCATCGCTTTGTCAAAGAGGGAGAGGGAAAGGATGAAGAGGAAAACACAGGGAAATAAATACTTACAGGTGAAAAGAAGAGATGGAGATGTGTGGCTGAGAGAGCGATACACCGAAACACAAATATAATCTATTGCATTTTATTCTCAATATAATTTTCTTTTTCATAATATAACTGCGGACGTCCCGATGGTTGGGCAACAACGACTGAGAAGAGCCGGTTGTGTTTCTGAAGCTCTGAACTGAACTCACCTGAATTTACACATCAGACTATTTAATCACAGAACCTGTCATTTAACTATCAATGCATTTTATATGTGTTTGGTTGATTTCAGCTTGTTATTACACAAAATCCAAAATCAATGTAAAGTTGACTTGAAGGACTCGTGAAGTACAAAGTCTTTGGCCTTACTGTGCTTTCTGACCCATCAGCCACCACACCTACCCACCTGTTTTTTAATGTGGCAGTTGGAAAACCCACAATACCATAAGAGATTTCTAACTTAGTGCTCTATTGCTCCATTGTATAACTGTGTGCACCGCTATCTGGTGCGTGCTCACTCCTACTGTCGGACGCAATCATCCGTAAGGTTTTTACTGTTCAATCGGACAATCAGACCTCATAGATTCAGCTGCTGTTATTCACATACCCACAAGTGCAGTCTCTCTCTCTCATGCAAGAACTTCTCTTTTCACTCTTTCGTCCACATGTGCACAATACATATTAAAAAGAAAAACATTTATTTAAAGTAGATTTAGACTAGGGGCGCTTTTACTATGTTGGTCTGGAAGATTAGCTAAAGATGGAGGACATGCATCTGTTCAAACTGGATTTTAAAGCTGGCTATTAAAATCTTGTTTTCCCAGGTCCAGTTTTACCCAGTTGATAATCCAGCTTGGTTTTTAACTTCAGACAGACAGAAGTACAAGAGACATGCAATTTACTAATTTATGAAGCATATATAGATCATTCATAAAGTACCTCCACACCCACTCTCATGCAACAGATGTCACCAAAGTGACATATTCCAACCAGTACAGTTCTGTGTGATGAATATGAAGGCAAACTCTTCAGCCTTGTTGATCTCCACATGTCACACAGACATAAGCGCTTTGCACCCTTGTCTGAATAATGCAAAAGGCGATAAGGGTGACGAGCTGTGTAACGTAATACTCTAAGTTATTCCGTTTTTTAAAGGATAAATTAAAATACATCTGTTGAAAATGGAGACAGTCAGCAACACAAAGAATGGAAAAAACACAACATAAATATTCAGGAAATTAAATTAACATCGATTAGCTTTTCATTTTCAGTCTGAAAAGGAGAAGGAAGAAGCAACATGCTTGTCTCATCCTACCCCCCTATTCTTCATTTAATCATCAAATGGAAATTACAAATACAACTCCATACTTCCCCCAGTGTCCAACTGCCCACTACATCGCTGCAGTCTTCTTCTCTAATGTGCAGAAACATACCTTTCCTCTCAGTATTTTCTGCTCCTCTCATAAACGATGTATTTATACATCTTTTTAAACATTCTGAGATCATTGCTTTGTTTTATTTCCTCCCTCAGGCTATTCTACAAAATCTCCCCACAGACTGACATGTTTGTATTTAGACTGGTGCGAAATATCAGGTTAAATTTCTCTCTCAAATGAAAACTCCCAAAACAACATTTGTACGTTTCCAGGAAATAGATTATTTCTTACTGTGTACTTGTTTTAAATTCCACCAGGTCCATGACCTTCAATCTATATGGCTTTAAAAACAAATTATTTGTGAGTTGATATCCGACGTTAGGTACGATCCCTATGGCTCTTTTTTGTAGTGAGCGTCATTGTTGCAGGGAGGTTTTGAAGGTGATGCCTTAACACAATTATCCACTTATGATCTCTATCTTTGTCTTCACCCCCCTTCCAGCTCATTTCTGTGTCTCTCTTTCTCTCTCTCTCTTTCATTTGCGTGCATGGCTGGTGAAGAATATGAGCTGACACAAATTTTACACCCACCCAAGCTGATCTGAGCTGAAATGAACTGAACCATGCTAAGGAAAGCACAATGTCTGTCTATGCCACTGGCTATCTGAACATAATTAACAGACCTTATGTACGTAATGGAGCACCCTGATGTTTTATAGATGTTGATGAGACAGTTTGTGTCAAAACCAGTGTAAATGTACAGCTACAAAGGGGAGCTGTGGCGATGAGACGGTGCCTGTGGTAACTGCTTTCTCTGTCATTTTGGAAATGGAGACCTGAATATGTCTCTGAAATTAGGTCGTGCCATGTTCTGGAAAAGATGCGATTATCTGGGTTGACACCGATCTCAACTTGCCGGGTTCAGCTCAGCGCCAAATGTAGAAAGTGCATTTGTCTGAATATCTGGCTGATTCCTGCCACTCTGTAGTGTAGAAAAGCAAAGCCGGGGGGGGGGAGGGGACCTCTCTGTTTCTGAGTTCTGTGTATTTTGTTTTTTGAAGCATTAGTTAATTTGCGAAGGGCTAGAACGTGCACTCCAGAGGATGCACCGTTCAATATTAAACTCTGTGTATTTGTGGTATCCGTCACTTTGTTATATAGCCTCTTTACTTTATCACCACACGTACTAAATCCAGTGATTCATTTCTACTGGGTGTGACCTCTTTTGCTAGATACACTCTCAGAAAAAACAGGAAAAAATAATGTTGAAGTTGTACAGTGGTTTGTGTTTGTGTTTAGCAACAACAGATGCAGCTGCTTAGGTCATGATCGGCAGCACAAATGGAGTTCAGTGAAATAAAATAAAATGTTTTCCACAATACAGATAATAATTCTGACTAAGACAAATTAGAAGTAAGCTGGTAATAACTTACCCTCCCCCAGGAATGCGATTTGTTTAAGGGGTGTGGCTTGGTGCACCTGAAATGTTTAAATAGGTGCTTGAACGAGTGGCACTATCCGTGGTACTGAAAGAGAGCTCTCATGCTGGCATGTAAAATCAGCGCTTTGGTTTTGTTGGACATGATCGCATCCCCCGTGTGTGCATGAAGAAAGGAAGACATACGTGTGACAGTGTTACGCTGACTCTAATTTTCAAAAATGGATTTCAAATATTCCTGAAACTAAAGTGGATGGAGTTGTTAAAGTTTTACTTGTGCCAGACGACAGGTGTTAGAATGATGTTCAGGTTGCACCTAAACCACAAAACAACCAGATTAATACGCACCAACTAAAAGTTTCATTTGTGATTACAGATGCATCCGATTGCAAAGTCATCAAATTATTTTCCCAAATTCAATGCACGTTGCTGTTATAATCTAAATTCAACCCTTTTTTCTATGTCGTAACGTTTGCTCACGGGCTTCATCTTTTATAAAAACCCACTGTGGTTCGTGATTTGCAGTATTTTCATTCATAAAAATGTTCAAAAACAGATCTCTCCCTGCAGACATGGATATGTACCTTCCTGCTCTGTTACTTTTGTCTATGTGCCTTGGAACTTAAACTGCATATAATATCATGTGAAGACATTGGTGTACTGCAACTCAAGATTTTAACCTGTTCATCCCAAAAGCCAAGCAACCAAAGGCCTTTGTATTGTACAGACGGTACATGTCGGTAACCAAAACATTACAGAGACTTGCTGTATATTATTTTTAATACTTTTACCCTGGCTTACATAGCTTATGTTTGTGTGGTTTAATGTTAGAAGCAGATGTTTATTTGTGACTCTTTATTGTTGCATAGTTGATAATGTGATCACTGATTGTAACAGACAGGCCGTTGTCTCTGCAATTAAACTGCAGACCAGTTTCTGCTCCCATGGTCAAACGTGTGTTCTTTTTCAGTGGGTGTGCACACACAGGAGTAACATATCTGCCCATATGTGTTTGTACTATGTGGACTCACTCGGCTGGTCACAAGAATAACAAAATCCAGCTTTTAATTCAAATCTTTCAGGTTATTGGAATTAGAGGCTGATTTTTAACCTAATTTTTAATGCATTCAATTATTGTTATTTGAAAGTACTAATATAGTGATTTGCAGATAAAAAAATGTTTTAGCGCCTCAGCTAAAACCAAGCTATATGGTAAGTGAATTGAAATTTGACTGTTTGACTGTTTGTGTCACTAAAACTAAGACTTCAACATTCAGTGTTTTTTAATAACCGTTTTATATTTGATACTTTAAAATGTACAGTTATAATTCAAATACTATCTTTCTCAACCCCATAGCTATGCTAGCAGTATGATGAGTCCACCCATTACTTTGGTCCAGACTGAATTAGCGTAATAATTAATGGTTTGATTGCTGTGAAATTGTATAGATTTTACACAGGTCTTTGTTTTCCCCATATTTTTCCTCCATTAGTGTACAGTCATTGTCCTTGCCAATAAGTAAATGTCAGCATGCTAGTATCCTAAAGTAAAACAGCAAACATAAACTCATGTCTGAAAACAGCTGAATTATTTGATGCCACGAAAACAGTGAATGATTGCGATTGGTTGATCGTTTTTTTCGATCACTAATGTGCAGACTCTGATTCTAAATGTGTTTGGTGCAAGATGGCACCGTTTGTATCCAGGATATTTTGGCTTCATTTCTAAATCGTGAAAGGAATTATTTACAGTCTATGATTTCACCATTTTGCTATTGCCTCTACTCTACCCTTACACAACCATGAGTGTAGCAACAGAAACATTTGGCTGTATTTTATCATGGATCTTATTAATTCTGTTGTTGCCATCCCTACAGTGGAGACTGTTGCAGTAGGTATTTCATATGAAGCTGTAGCTGACAATCCAAGACTCTGTGTATCAAAGATGTGCGAAATGCATGTTTACTTTGGTTAATGTGGATTAGTGCAGTCATCTCTGACACTAGAACCAGCAACGACATCCCCTCATATCTTTCATTTTCTCTCCCGCCTTAGTCGTCTCCAAATGACTCAACACTCTCAGCACTGTGCCAATCTGCGCAGCTGAGGACTCACTTCCACTGTGAAAACAAATAATGTGTTTGCTAATGACAGTCGTGCTCGGGGGTGTTTTATCGTGGTGGCGGTGACAGATTAAAGAATGAAGATGAGGATTAAATGCACACAGCAGACAGGGAATTTTCACATACACCTCCACCCAGTTTGAGGAGAGTAAAGATTGAATGTCAAAGGGAAAAATGTCAGCTAAAGGGGCTTTGTTCTTCCAGGGGGGTCAACAACAGATTTATTATCTGTATATAACAGGTCCGAGCTGTGCCAAAGCTCTGGTTGTGTATGAGCCAGCCTCTGTAACCTTTTTGATAGTAGAAAAATAATCAGTCAAAGTCCACGAAGAATCTTTTGAAAAGTTCTGTTGCATAAAATGAACTAAAAGTAAAACAAAGTCAAAGAGAGTGGGCCAAATAAACTTAATGCAGCACAACTCACATGAAGTGTTTTGAAATCAAGGTATCGCTAATAAACAAGATGAAAAGCACATCAGACTTAGCCCTGAGGGTAAAATATCTTTGAGTGAAGTCCCTAAAAGCAGAGAAGAAGACATGTTTTCAACTTGAAAAGGTATTTATTTTCAAATTGCTTTGAAAAGGGTACACCTTCAGTCAAACTGAAAACACGAACATGGTGTAACAAGGCGTCTTTTTTATGAATGCAACGAACATTTGTCACTTCAAAGAAGTGTCAAAGCAAGTTCTTCCCTCATTATTAATGATTACATTGATGTAGTGGTGTCCCCAGTGGCCGCAGCAACACCCCATCATGTCCCAAACTAAAGAGGAGCCCTATCAATTACATTGGAATCTCTGAAAGAGCAATACAAATCCCAAGAGGACATCGAGAACCTCCTTACTAACCCTACAACATCCTTAACCCTCTGAACGACCACATAAAAGCTCCAGTGTGTCAGATTTAGGTGAAAGGGAACGAAGAAATTTAATGTAGAATGATGTTTTCACTAATTCATTTCATCTAATTTGTATGAATTGTAGTTTTCTTTATCCCAGAAAAGGCCCTTTATATTTAAATACTTTATATTTACATCGAGGGGACCCTCTCTAGGGAGGCTGCCATGTTTTTTACATTAGTCCAGACTGAACAAACTAAACACCTTTTGAGTTTCTATGACAACTGAAGCTACCACAGGTTCTTTTTCATGTTTGGAAGGAGAGGGTGAGGGGCAACATGCAACTTCAACACTAGATATCACAAAATTCTACACACTGTAACCGTTGTGAGAACACAGGAGGGTGTGTTGATAAAAAAATCATGGAATGAAAAAGTGGTGCCATACACGTAGAGGACGCTGACAGAGATGTCAGGAGAGCTTTTGTTGGTAAAGACAGACGCCGGTGTGGATGTGCAGTTAACTAAAACATGTGATCTCTGCAGCAGGATTCATACGTTACATTCTACCTCCGCCTGCTACGCCACCCCTCACCTGAACACTCTGGAGATTTTTTTTTGTTATGAGCGAGCCCAAGTGGAGAATCTCCAGCTGCTTGCTCAGTACCGACCAAATACTGCGGACATCCTTCCTTTGGAGTCCGACTAGGGCATTGAGTTTGATGGATTCAGGTCTTTTATTTGTTGAATGAAAGATACGACTGTTGTTTCTCTATGCTGCAGGAGGGACGGCAGACTTATGCATGGAAAAGAGCAAATAGATGCTACTTAACCAACTGGGTCCCACGATAGTGATTTCATCATGTGGGTGAAATAAGATGAGAGCAGCAGGGACATTGCATCAGAAATGTTTCCATTTCCCAGCCTGCACTTGTCAATACATTATAAGTGCCTGACGTAAGTAGATCCCAAATAAAGAGCGCTAAATTGCGTTTGGTTGGTGGGCGTTTTGAGGGGGATCTAACCTTTAGCAGATCGGGCCCTATGGGTTTTAATCTATTCTGCTGGTATTGTTGTTATTGTCTCAGAGAAAGGAACCATGGAGGTGCAACACAGTCTTTTTGATCTAACAAACACACCCTTGTGGGTGGAGATGCTGTCCGGTGATCGAGTGGAAACTTCAGGGAGCACTGTTCACTGCACAGCATGTGGGCTCTTTGATCATACACTACATGGTCATGCACTCGCAGTACCCCCTTTGTCTCAGAAGGTTCGCCTGAGTTTCGACACCCTTATTTTTAAAGGTACAGTGTGTAGAATTTAGTGATATCTAGTGGTGAAGTTGCATGTTGCAGCTGAACACCCCTCACCTCACCCTCTCCTTCCAAACATGAAAGAGAACCTGAGGTAGACTTCAGTTGTTATAAAAACTCAAAAGGTTTTTAGTTTGTCCAGTCTGGACTGATGTAAAAAACATGGCAGCCTCTGTAGAGAGGTTCCCCTCAATGTAAATATAAAGTATTTAAATATAAAGTCCCTTTTCTGGGGCAAAGAAAACTACAATTTGTACAATAAACATGATCTAACACTTGTGAAAAGAATCGTTTAGAAGTGACTCTTGATCCAGGATGTCTTTTCATATACTGCTGACTGTCTCCATCTACTGCTCAACGTTAGCATTGTTTGATTGAACATATAGTTTTATAGAATTTACAGTCATTGTGTTCAAGTTACAAAATACATTCAAAACTGTTTGTTTTACTGGCTCACATGTGTGACATGAGCTCTTTGACCACTGAAGTGTCCAAAACCTTTAAAGACGAAGAAAATAAACAATAGTTTCTATATATATATATATACATATTTACATGAAAAATCATGAAGGGTGCCTAAAATTGAAAAGTGCTTTGTACAAAACTCACTCAACATTTGCATGAGTTTCCAAAAGTCAGATTTAGTCAGGATTTGGTCATTTTCGCTCTGTTTTGCTCATGTGAACTGATTTCCTCTGTAAGCCTTTACAGAATTTGACTACCCACCTGCAGTGGGTCTATTCTGGGTGAACACAGGTTTCTGGAGGTGGTTGTTTGGTTGACGTGATCCACACCAACACCTTCTCTACTCACTTAGAAACCTACAGCAATTACTTAGGATCTACTGTATGTTCTTAAGACTGACCTTGACATTTTATTTTTGTTTTAGAATTTTAGAATTCTTTCCTTCTGCTGTTCTGGGGCTTTTATGTTCTTTTTTAAAATAACTTCACATAAGTGCATGTCTATGTCTGAGTTTTTGTTATGCATCTTGCGTCATATGAACAGATGAAGGAGCAGGTATGAGTGAGCACAAATGTCCGAATGAGAGAATTTCTGCTGACTTTCTCCTGCCAGGCCTCTGATAAAGAGAACACAGCAAGAGATCCTCCGCAGCAGAGTTTTCAGCGTAATTTATACATTGTGAAATTAGCCGAGAATCTCCTGCTGTTTTGTGAAAGTCTGGACACAATTCTCCAGACATTTCTGAAAACTGCTTTACCTACAATGCACATGATGGTAGAGTTGGTGATTATTGTTAACTGTTATTCACCAAACCTGCATTTAATAGGTATATTAACACTTAATAATTTACAATATATATCCAGTGACACACTTTCAATTACTTTCAAGACATGGTTCATCATTAATGTTCACGTCTCTGTGACTGTTTCTCTTTTGAAATTCTCATGTTCAGCAGCACGACTGCACCTGTGGGTCTCAGCGGGCAGTGAACTCCTATTGTGCAGCTTCCAGCTCTTTGTTTCAAATGGGTAGTTGTAAAACGAAAGTAACACGTTTTTATGACTTGACGCCACATCATTTCTCTTGGTATCTAACAGCTGCACCGCAATTAACCTTCATGAACTTTCTATTCAGGTTCTTTTTATCCATTTATTTATTTCCCAACCAACCAAAACACTTATTTGCTTCACTGTACTTCTCATTCATCTTCCCTTGATTTGTTGTCATCCACCGTTATTGTATTTTCGAACTTTTAGTTCCATTTCCTCCTCGGGTATTCCCTCTTTTTACCTTTAGCCCTATGGTTTCATTATTTGAACACATTAATAACTATAGGAGGTATCTGTTTAGCAAACAGACACTGTGTGAAACTAATAAATAAAAGATTGGATGAACTGCTGACTGCCACTTTGTTTAGAGTCACTGAGCAACCTCAACAGATTAGGGACATTAACGCTATGCAGGGCTTAAAAACACAAGATTCAAATATGTCTTTGTTCCACTTCTGGGAAAAAGATAAATCCCAGAGCACCTTTTCCATTAAGTCTCAATTCTAAGTGCTCATGCTGTATTTTTTAAATTGAAAAGTTCTGTGGAGAGTAAATCACTTTGAGTGAAAACAGTTTCACAATGACGTTGAGAATGTTTTAGTCACATCTACACTGATCCCCTACAGTAACTACAGACGACTGTATGATTGCTGTTAGTTTAGGTTTTTCTCATTCCCTTCTTTGTAGAAAAGCGTCTTCATATTTTTTACTTTTCTTACAGACCTTTTATCTATTATTTTCATTTTCATTATTATTTTACCTGCACTGTAAAGACGGCACCCACATTTCGTTGTGCAATGTCGCATTGTTCCAATGACAATAAAGATTTCTGATTCTGATAACTGAGGTGACCTTGTGTTAAACAGTTAAACTGCAGTTTGACTGTTTGATGCTTCATGCACTGATTCATGTCTTTCAGGATATTTCAGATCTGTGCATTCACTACATTTCAATTTGCTAATTTTTAGGTGAAATAAGGAAAATACTACATAGACGCAATATTATCATATTTTTGCATTTTAAAGTGGTATAAGAAAGGGACTGAACTAAACTCCTTCAAGAACCAAATTGTTTAGATCTATCCACTAATTCCACAAACATTTGTCTGTTTATAGAAAGTCATGACTCGTCCAACTGATTGACTTCACACTTGGCTTGTGTATTGTAAATAGTCCGGGAAAGTACAATGCTGAGTTTGGTGTGATTTGAATACGTCATACGTTTGTTAGTAAAACAAACTAAATTAAAAACAGGTGACCATCTTTGAGTGAGCCTTCAGTCTGTGGACCGAGTGGAACACGTCCTCTGATAAACTGCAGCAGTGCTTACACGTGGCAGCATTTCAATTGGTTTGCCTTGGCGGAGGTACGCACTCTCCGACTCGGAGTACCATTCTGGTTCTTTAAAGATATCTATTTATTCCCATGTGATGATGGGTGAAGAACAGCCTTAAAAAAAAAGCCAAGTGAGACAGAAACAGCATCAGAACAAAAGCAACAGAATAAACCAGGATAGTGGGTCTTGAGATGGAAGTTTTTCTATTTCTCTTTTTTACTTTTTTACTGTTTATCATATTGAAATCTTTACAAATCATCAGTGTTAGCTATGATTCAGTGTGTGTCTGCCTGGGTGGTCCCCTACGGGGTCCTCCGCACACAGGATGGGGGAAGTCCCAGCACCGGCAGTGAGTTCACACTCAAATGAGCCTTCACCCTGAAATAAAATACAGGCCTCTCTCACTCTCATCTTCAAACCAAGGATTCTCCCACTGCCTCTTCGTCTCGCCAGGTAAGTGATCTACAAACGTCGTTTTCAACACAGAGTGGGTCACATCAGTAGTTTTTGGTCCAGGAGGGACATGGATCCTCAACTTTGAGCCGGTGTTTTCACTTTCTGACCATGAGTAGTGAAGTTTGTGTTGGGTCTGTGAGCCCTTTGCTCCAAACGCAGTCCTGTCTCCAGTTACATTTACACACACACAGCAAATATAGCTCCAATGGAAAAAAAGATCGATGGTAAAATAAGGAAGAAGAAAACTCAATAACTATATGACAAAGATGAAGACGGCTGAGTCTAATGGTTTTTTTTGTATGTAAATTTTTTAGTGACTTACAAACATAGCGCTTGTCATAATTTCTTGTTGGACAATGTGAGAGGGGGACGTGAGTGAGACCCTGAGCTGTGAATAAAAGAGTGTGACAAATCTACTCAAGAGTAAATCAGACTTAGAATTTGGCATGTTTGAGAAAGGAGTGAAGGGGTGGAGGTTTTTGATCTGTACTTCTTTCACAGTTCGCTGACTCAGTGCTCGCTGGAGCGGAGCACAGTATCTACGAGCACAGACATGGTTTCTGAAAGTGTGGTTGTGCAAATTTGTTTTGCAAGGACGGCTCGACAGGACGTTTTAATAAACCAAAGCGAGTGGGTCTGTGCAGTCAGTATGTCGGCTGTTTAACTGGTTCAATAGCTGGTTCACTCACACCTTTGGATACCTCATGCTTTTACCAATAATTACACCAATATCCAATCACTGAAATCAAACACCAGCACTACAAGCAGACGTAACCAGAACATCTGGAGTAATCCTCCGTGCTACAAGGTTTAAAAGTTGAATATATTGTAGGTATGTGTAGTATAGTACAGTATACTCTACCACATCATAATACTTCTATTCAATACAAAGTTCAGTATAGTATGATATCGTATAAAAGCTGTATATACCGTTTTTAGTGTAATATACAACAAATCTACTTTAACTCTACAACACAATAATTCTTCAAGCACAATCTAGCATAGTAAAGTATGATCTAGTACAGTGCATTATACTAGACAACAGAATACTATTATTATTCTACTACACGATGATTCCTTAAGTACAATATACTACAGGATAGTGCAGTATAGTGTCATATGATCTGCTATAGTGCATTATATGATACATCAGCACTCTATATCCTACTACATGATAATTCTTCTAATACTATACTTTATAGTATAGTATAACATGGTGCAGTGTAATATAGGACAAAACATCTATAATCCTACTTCATATTAAAAGTCACAAGTATAATATACAATAGTATATACGACAGCAGGCTATAGTCCTTTAAGTATATGTTATGTAGTATAGTATGGTCTGGGCTATACTATACTATACAGTATAATCTGCTATAATCTAATGTGATACAAAACACCAGTCTATATTAGTACTACACAATATTTTAGTATAGTATACTGTTGCATAGTACATAACAGTAGAGTAATATAGTACGGCAGACTAGTTACTCTAGAATCTTTCAGTAGAACTTCACAACAATGGGAAGTATAGTGTTTAAGTCACTTTACAGTTTATTAGGTAAAACTTAGTCAAACAGTTATTCAGCTCATTGACAACAGTGAGGGTCAGTTAAACAACCACACGACTACATCCTCCTGAATGATCAAAACACTGAATCGGAATCTAAGTAAGACAGTTTGACCAAAAACTGAACATTACAACAAAAACTGAGCATCGCATGTTCCTCAGCCTCCGTGACTCAGCCGAGGAACACGCCAGCTGCAACAACCAAGGACAAAACAACCAAAGACCCCGGCTGTGTCTGAAATCGCTCCATATTTACACAGCGCTACAGCCAATATATGAATATATGCAGCAATATTTGTTTTACAGAATAAACTATGCACCAGTAATTCAATTTTAATTCATTTGTATTTAATTAAGATAAGTTCAATATATTTGATTCGTATTTTCTTTTAATTGTTATTTATAGTTAAGATTATGGTTTAACTAAAAATAATATAAAGCCCCAATTTCACTTGTTTGTCATGAGGGTTTAATAACAACATCTTTTTAATTCATATATCAGAAGCTGAAATTTCTCTCTAGTATCTTCAGTCCGGCTCTTGGATTATTTATATAAGATTACAGTTCTCAGTATTATATATATTGAACCATATTATCCCAAATATTGTGTTCCCTGGTGACTTGTAGGTACATATGCAGAAATGAGACAGTATCTTTGACATATTTATTTACTTCCTCCTCTCGTAACCTTCCTGTGTGTCTGTGTCTTGCCGTGCGCGTGTTCCTCAGAGTGACAGTTATCGGGGCTGATGGGTGGAAGCTGCCCGGAGGGGCAGTACTGGGATGGCTTGGTCAAAGAATGCCTGTGCTGTCGTTTGGTATGCGAGCAACCGCATGTCAGCAGCAGGTGCATCAGTTATTGTGGTGAGTACACACACACACACACAGACACGAGGTCAGAGGGACGAGAAACGTATCGTCTGACAGAATGGCCGCGAGGTTTAAAGGTCAATGAGACATTGACCACTGAAGCGCTGACTCATTGTGCTGCTGATCCACGGTTACGTGCTTGTTCTTCATCTGCCCCCCCCTTCTGATGAGCTACATCAGATAAATGGAATTTCAATCAAACTATGAGTAAATTATGTCAAATTAAAAAACTGCTCCCTCCAGCATTTTCTAATCGCATTGATTGTGTCTAAAGGATGATATGAACGTTACAAAGGTTGCACCAGAGGCTTCGTCTGAGGGAGATAAATGCAGTTCAGTTAAGGGTTGGATGAATATGACCCTGCAGGAATATGTATAAGCTAATGGATGGAGCAGAAGACAGAACAATACATTTAGGTGCAGATCCAGAAAAGGGGCAGATCAGGATTTGTGTTCACTTTCTTTAAGATTATGAGATAGAGGGGTGCATAGACCCTGATGATTTACATGTGGTTTCATATGGGGACTGTTGGGCCTTGGATGCGCTCTACCTTAGTGCCATTATGTTTTTTTTTTCTTTCACTGTCTTAGAATTACTCATTTCCAATCATAAGTGCTTAAAATGAGTTACAGATACTTAACAATGACAGGTAACATGCTTTTAAATGATTATTTCCAGCAGAATATTTGCATTTCTATCCAACAGTTATAGAAAAAGAAGAGAACTCAAAGGAGCGCAAGGCTGACGCTCTATTTTGCCGTCTTATTGACAATGAAAAAATAAATAAATCATAGAATCAATTGATTCTACAGTTTTTGACAGACAGACATAACATCACCTCCTTGGCAGAGGTAAATAGAGAATATAGAAATGCACAGAATAGACTGTGTGTCCACTTCTCCCGTTTGATTTCACATGTCTTCCTGCATCAGAGTCTGCACATTGTAAGCGGCAGCCTGGTCACTACTATGATGTGCTGCTGAAGACGTGCATGAGGTGCGCCGAGGTTTGTGGCAAACATCCAGCAGAATGCTCCGGACACTGCCACAGTGAGTAGTGACCCCGCTGCTCTGGTTTGAATCCCTTCATGACCTTTCTTGTCCCGTCACTGCTGTTTTAATGAAGGCGCTGAGTTTAAGTGCTTGAGGTTGACCTCAGCGGACCTGGTTTTCAGAACACAAGTCGGCTAACGCAAAGAGATTATTGGCAAAGAAGGAACTGTGGTCACACTAGAAATTAACAGCAACTTCTGTGACTTTTGCAGAATGTCTGCAGTTAGAAAACAAGAGGATGCTTACAACCGAGTGTGAGACCTGATCCTGGGTTTATTTGGTCAGGAACCTTTGTTGCATGTAGTAAGCAACAAAGCACAGAGCTGAACAACAACAAAACAAGACCCAGAATGTTCGAGGTTACTCCCTTGGTTTCTAGATGTTGTTCGTCAAAACATAGCAATAGTTCAGCCATTTATAAATCAGACAGAAGCTGAAAAGCTGATTCACTCCTTCATTTCTAGAAAACAACAGAGACTCATTCAGAACTCTGCAGCTCAGCTGTTAACCAGAACCAAGAGGAGAGAACACATCGGTCCAGTTCTAATGTTCTCCTCCGTACATACAAGGCTCTGAATGGACGAGGACCCAGTTACATGGCTGACTCTCTAGTTAACTGTTTCCTCTAGAACACTGAGATCATCAGCAGCAAGTCTGTTAGAAGTTACCAACAACAGCCAATATAAAACCAGAGGTGCAGCTTCTGTAAACTATGCTGCTAGATATCAGAGAAGCTCGTTCAGCACACGTCTTTACAGGAAAACTTTCTCTTCGCTTCAGCCTTTAACAGGATCCTGCACTTGCCTGAACTCCTGTCATAACTGTCTTTTTCTGTTTGATGCATGTTTTTAAATTGTATTTATTTAAATATTTTATTTTCTTGTTTCTGAACATCTGTTCTCTTCTTCTTTGTACATTAAGTACATTTCCATTACATTTATTTAAATCTGTATTGTATGTTAAGCATGAAAGGTGCTCAACAAATGAAGTTTATTATTATTGAAGGTCTTTTCTACTATGACTCAGATGATTAACAGCTATCATTAACCCCCCCCCCCCCAACAGCTACATCATATCCTGTGACCGCGACAATGCTGGGGGTTAAAGTAACCTCACACCTGCCGAACTCCAGAGGGCTCTCTGTGCCGATGGCCCTGGAAGACTCCACGCTCTTGCTCTACTCTCTGCTGGCTCTGTGCATGGTGCTGCTGTTTTCTAGCTTGTCTTTAGCCCTGGCTGTCTTACTGAGGACGGCCAAAAGCTCCAAACCGAGACCCAGCGAGGCCAAACAGAACCTTGTTGTGCAGCCAGGTGAAAAGGTCGGCATGCGAGGTGGGCAGCTGGCGCCCACTTCCAAAGGTTAGCGTCGTACGGATACATCCAAAGACCCCGCGACTGAAAGAACAAATCATTATCATTGGTTTAAAACCTCTTACATTTCTAAATTGTTTATCTCGGCATGTGTTTCTCATTGTATACCCTGTCTGTCTGCAGATCTTGTAACAAGTTCAAGCTGCCCTCCGAACCGCATGCAGTCAGATGACTCCATCCCGACAGAGACGTGCGTGTGCATCCATTGTTTCCCTGATCTGAAAGCACTAGGCCAAAGCAATGACAGGCCACCGCTCCCTTTAAACCAGCAAGCTGTCCTCCCCGGAGTCCAGACCATGAAGGGCAGGCCTCTCTTCACTGAGCAGAGCCTCCACAGTCCAGGAGGGGGCAGCAGTGAGATGAGGTCCATTTACTCCCCCTCATATCAAAGTGCCTCACAGCAAAACTGGAATGGATAACCACGTCCCCAACGCACCAAAGATGCTCATCAGTACATAAGATAACATTTGATAATCCTCTCTCTTCACAACAGGTACATTTCAGATGTTACAGCAGCAAGAGATCAGTCAAAAATAGACAAGATTGCAAGTAAACATGCAAGAATCGCAGGGAAATGTAAAAATATAAATGGAATAGACACAAGTACATACAGTGCTAAAACAGAATATATACAGTGAGAGAATATTTACAGTGGAATACTGGATTTTTGTTCAAATTTGAAGTGAAAATATTGTCTCAAAGCAGTTTGACAGTACACTGACTAGGAATTGGGAGATAGGGCCTCTTTCATTCCCACTCCTCAGCCTGAACGTCTGCTATGGACTATGTAAGTGTAAAACTGACAGTTGGTTGCAGCTTAAATTTTGGTCCAGGCCAATGTGTGAAAGGTGAAATGACCATTTCACACAAGCACAGCAACAGCCCAGAAACCTTTGATTGCTCACCGACTGTTTTATCAGTCAGAAAGGCACCAAATCTACATTTATGACTCATTTGGGTTTTTTTTTTCCACAACAACACAAATTCAACAGTAAATTAGGAAGCACTGAATGGTCGAATGAAACAGTGTGTTCATCTAGATAAAGGAGAACTCATAGTAATAGCACAGTGACTCAATGCTGGAGAACAGTCGGCTGCTTGAATGAAGGGCATCAGCTCTCCTGAACCACCCCCCCAAAAGTGTTCTTTTTGTTACCACCACTGGGAGTCGCCAAAGTCAATTTCATAGCAGATACTGTCTGTACGTATAGGCCCAGAATATTGTGTGTACATGTGTAATATAAAAAGAACAATATGTTTCATGTATGAGAAATAAACAAGCAACACAAATGAGTCTACAGATATAGATATTTCTTTATTTGAGTGTCTTTCAATCACTGTGTCCAGTTTCTTGCAGCAGTTACATGTGTGTGCGAGGAATGACTGATCGGGTCGAGACGCTTTCTTTTTCCTATTACGACCCCCTGTGGCTGGATCCAGCGATATCAAGGAACAAACTGACTTGAGGTTTCACCATTTGGCTCTTACATACAAACTGTACATAGATACTTTTACATACATCATCAACATGTGGAAAAAAATCCTATCAAACTGTGATACCCAGCTCAGACGGCATGCTGAATGCAAGTACTGATTCAGTACACGAACATACGGTACATACGCACGCGCACAACACACGTGCATACAAACAGGAACACATACGCACTGTTTTTTTTTTTTTCTTCTTCCTCTTTATACGCAGTAATATTTTATACAAACACATACACCGAGCTCCCCCCCCTCCCCTTTCTCGGGCACATACACGTGCACACACACAAACACGCACACACACACACACACGCACGCACATATATACAAACACACCGAATTAGAGCGACATGCGGCCGACGGTTAATACTGCGAGATCGAGCTTCTGACCCTTTATACACACACTGTACTGAAACCCTGCCCGTTCCAATTTTTTTTTTTTTTTACCGTTTACCTGAAACGGCATCATGAAGACAGACATTGAACGGATCTTTATCGTGGAGATTATGCAAAAAATCTGCCCCCAAAAGCCAAATGAAACAAATAAAGCAGAATAAAAGCCGCTATAGCAGCATTTTCATCAGAACGATCTGCACTATTTTGTTTTTGTGTTAAAAAAAAAGAAAACATATTGGATAGCACAATGCAACACACGCGAACAATGTGAGAGTTTAGGGAGAGAATGCAAAACCGTAAACGATGTATAAAAATATATTATTCACTGTGTTATCTATTTCCCCTGTGACTGTTGGAAGCAGCAAGGCAGAAAATAACAGATCCTTTATATACGTGTCCTTGTTTCACAGAACATTTCCTAGACAACTACAAAGTCATGGGTAATGAATGGAATCTGTACAATTTTCACAACATCACTTGTCAAGTGATTCCCTTGCACCCCCACCTTTTGCATTTGGAGCAAAAATGCATAATAAAACTTCCTTCTTTGAAATATTTGGTCGTTTGGAGGAGTGTGTGTAGGTGAGTGCTTTAGAAAAGGGTTTGTCCGACACACCCAAGAAATTAAATAAAATTAAAAAAAACACTTCTTAGCTAAAGCAGAGCCCGACACTTTCTTGTTAATGTGTGCAGCTGTGCGAGCGTGAAGCCGGACCTTGGTGAAGAACAGCATTTGTGATCATGTAAACCTTCCCCAGATAAAATAAGGTTTAAAAGAACCTTTTTGCCCTTTTGTCTGTTTTCTGAAAACGAGCCGACTGATCTTGTAGTAAATTCCTTCTCTTCCTTCTGCATCTCCTTAATTCCAGTGAAAAATGTTTGCAGGTACGCAAATATCCCTTCAGCGCATTTTGTTTGGTTCTTGCATCTTGGTTCTATCCCACACATCAAACACTTCAGTCTTAAATTGTCGTACGGAGGAGCATGATCGTATGTCCTACGCGTGGTTCCGTGTGAGTGAGCATTGCGACTCAGAATGATTCAGGTAGCCTTGTGTTTCTACTTTGCCTCTCTTATCACTGTGTTACCTGTTCCCATGCAACTCCTCTGGCGTCATCCCTCAGTTCCTCCTGCCGGCTGTGCTGATGCAGGGGACTATTCATACTCCAGGAACTGTTTGTGGTAAAACAAGAGGTACCTACGGAGATAGAAGCAGCAAAGCATCAGATTGCAACAACACTAAGACCCAAGGCAACCAGCTGCGTCGTGAACGTTATGATCCGTGTACTTTTACTATGCGTTACTGCAGGATTCCAATAGAAGCAAAACCCTGAACTCAGACTGATGATTGTCGAGCGCTCCACTCTATAATGTTTGACTCGGTCTTTCTTACTGCCAGTTCCAGATTGTGAACATTAAACATAAACAAAGATTGCGACACTTGAGGAGATCAAGACAGAAAAGGCAACAATAGCACATTCGTGGGTGGAATGTCAGACCCCTGAATCAGACACGTTCAAGTTCACTTGTGTAGTTCTGCCATTTCTGTCACTGATGATGTGCCCACAGTGAAAAATGAGTTGAACATGCATCAGGAGAAGCTAACATGACAGATACCATCTTTGGTTACATGAAAATGAAGGGTTTAGGACCTATACTGCAGCCAGCCACAAGGGGGCGATCACGTTTTATGGAGCAGCCATGTTGTCCCTCTTTACATAGAGTCTATGTTTCAGAGCATGAGGTGGGATCGTCAATGCTCACCCTTCACTGTCCAGCACATCCTTGATGCTGGCCTTGGTGATGATGGCGTCGTCACATTTGAACCACTGGTCCTTGTGCTGCCGGATGAAGGTGGTGTAATGGCCACTCTCTAGTGTCCCCTGGTGGTTGACCACAGCAAATAGACTATACCTAACATAGAAGAAGAAGAAAAGAGTTCATGAAACAGAAGATATACATTATTTTACAAAACAGACTGTAAAGATTTACATCAGTGTAACAGTGTTCGTCTTACTTGTTGTCGTTGTTGAAGGGGTCCATGGTCTGCTGGTACTGCCCATTCATCCTGCTCTCTTTACTGAAGCACACACAACACAAACACAACACATGAGTCACAGAGCAAGACAGTTTAAAACTTTTCAATCTATGATCCTCATTAAACCCTAGTTTCTGTTTTTATTTACTTTTATGATTTCAACCAGTGTGGAAAAGTGTCTGAACAACTGAAACATTATTATTTGTTATTACTTCCACAACACAGGTCTCTCTTCCATTCATTCAAGATTTGAAGAAGTTCAAGTTTTTAAACGACATACTTGATTTGCATGTTTGAGTTTTAGGCTGAGTGCTTCCAATCCTCATTTGGACCATGCTCACCTGGAGGCCATGAAGGGCGTCATGTCCAGCTCCAGTGGGAAGGAGACATACGTTGTGATCTTCCTCCGTAGTTTGGCTGAATGCTCAAACCTCTGAAAACCACACAGGCAAGTGTTACAGCTCTGTCCATAACCACACACACACACACACACA